GGCAGCTGGAAGTTTGCTGGGGCCCCTTTGGCTGTGGCTCTCAACAGCTTTGGGCCACAGTCTAAGCCTTTCATTTCAGCCTGAAGGACCAAAAGCCTTTCTTGTAAGGCACCTCTTCTAACAACAGTCTTCCTTACATGTTTTCATCTGGGAACACCTTCAATTTCTCTTCTATTCTCAAAGGATGTCTTGCTTCCTCTTTCAGCACATCTTGGTCATGTTGTTCCACCSTGTCTAGACTAAAATTGGCTGCTGACCTTACGGAGGATTCCTTGTATATGACAGATTGCTTTTTTCTTCCTACTTTCAGGATTTTCTCTTTGGACAATTTGTCTGTAGTGTGTTTTGGTGTGGATCTCTTTGAATCTACAGTTTGAAACTTACTGAACTTATTAGGTATGCCTATTTACATACTCCAGCAAATTTGTGAATTTGAATAAAAGTTAATAAAAGAAATAAAGGAAAAGGAGAATCAAAATGATACACTACAAAAAACTATTCAAACACTTGGCATGCTAGTTTCCCTCATTCTTTCCTTTCTGCTCCTCATACAGAAGAATTTCARGGGCCTTATCTTCAAGTGCACTGACTCTTTCTTCTTCCTACTCGGATGTGCTGTTGAATCCCTCCAGTGCATTTTTCATTTTGGTCATTATAGTTCGAAGTTTCAAACTGGCTCCTTTTTATCCTTTCTATCTCCTTATTGAATTGCCCATTGTTCATACATAATCCACTGATTTGGGGTCCATGATTCATTGAGCTCACTGAGCATATTTAATGCAAGGATGTGCTATCTCTGGCTACTAATTCCTCTGGAATAGTTTCTATCAAAGCCTTTTTATTTTTCTTCCTGCAAGTGAACCATATTTTCCTTTCTTTATATGTTTTGTGATCTGGGGAAAACTGAACACTGAGTACTATGATGGGATTGCTCTGAAAAGCAGATGGTCCCTCCCCAGAAGCCGATTCTGTGGCTTGTGGAAGGCTGTCTCCTGTTTCTACTGTGACTCTTGCAGACTGTTTTCGTGAGGACTGTATTCCGTGTTGTGTGCAGTCTGTCAGTTTTCTGTTCCTTTGTCTCTGGGGTCACCTGTGATGGAGGTTTCCTGAACTGTTGAATCTCAGCTGTGTCTTCCTTGGTCACTGTGTCTGATTGTGTTCCAAAGCAGGGGATTTCAGTAGTCCCCTCCCACCCCCAACTTGAYGGTTGTTTCCCTGGAGAGACTGAACCCTGGAGCTTCCTACTCTGCCATTTTCTGTTGCAAATGCTATTTGTAGACACCAACATTTCAGAGGTTGCTCCATACTCTGTGAAACACCCCGATCTCTAGTCCTAGGAGTTCTGAGGGGCCCTCAGCACACGACCCAGCTTACTGAGACTGAGATGAATGTGTGCCCCATGTACGCTACACACGTTGCAACCTTCAGCATGCCTGAGAAGAGCGGCTGGCCCTTCTTACACCTACAAAGAATAAACTGAGAATCCCGTGAGATTTCCTATTTCAACATGAAATGTGAAAGTCTGTCCCATTTATGTTAATACAGGCAATGAAAGAACAAAACCATAATGACCAGGTTGTAGTAGAAACAGAATTTTAATATAATATTCAAGTCTAGCATTTTCTATTTACAACAAATAAATATTGCCCCAACCCAATCAGTAAACTTTTTTTTTTGCTTTTTGCTTTTTATACAAATATTCAACCCCTCCCCCTCCCCCAAGCCCTCCTTCCCCCCAACCCCGTCTCACGTGGTCTGTAAAGCCCAGGATGCGGTGGTGAATGGCACTTTCAGTGGCAGGAGATTCGACACCAATGGAGCTGTCCTCACGTGCCAGGAAGAGTGTGGCCCGTGAGAGGGCTTCTCTCTCCGCTCCCAGGGCGGGCGGGGTGTGTGGTGGGTGACACCCTGACTCTCAGTGGGCCCTGGAGGTGGACTCTTTGGTGCAGCCTGAGAAAGGCTAGAGTGGTGGGAGGAGGGGCCGGGACCCCAGGATGGTCACAGGCGAGTGCCTGTAGGCACCAGGAGAGAACTGCAGAGGTCAGACCCGCTGGGTGAGGGGTGCCCTGGGGTCCCCGCGGGCACAGGTGGTAGTGACTTGCACCTGAGAAGGTGTCAGGAACTGTACAGAGGGCAGTGGCCAGGGGCAGGCAGAGCACCATGCCCACCGGCAGCGCTTCTTAGCCAAAGTCAGCTAGTCCTCTGTCGCAGAGAGCAGAAGGCACCTAAGGCAGCGGGTGGTCCACGGAGGCCAGGTCAGCCTGTCAACTGGCAGGTGTCAATCCCGGCAGCAGGAGAGGTTCAGGTGAACTGGAGTCTGGGGGTGGCCTGGGCTGGCAGGTGGGTAGAAGGGGGCTGCTTGTCCTGAGCCACTCTAGTCTCTGTGCTCAGCCACTGGCCAGCCCACCCTAGGGAGATGTCCTTAGAAGATGCCCTTGGCAATCCTGAGCCCTTTCTGCTTCATGCGAGGGAGGGTGGAGCTGGCTCCGTGCTTGACCTTTGCCCCCTTGGAGAAGGTCCGCTTCTTCAGGACAAAGTCATAGTTGGCGGTAGAGTTCATGGCGTAGAACACATTGGCGTTTTCAGGGATCTTTAGTTCTGGTGAGAGAGGGGCAGAGGGGTGGTCATGGTATTCATAGGCCCCCACAGGATCCACTCCCTGAGTCTCCTTTAGGACAGGCCTAAGCCACAGGCCTGAGATCCCCCAGTCCGGCTCCCCCCTGGATGCTTTCTGCCTGAAGACAGACTTTGCCGAGGCCCTGCTGGGGTCTTGTTTAACAAGGGTCTTGATCTCCAGAATGCCGCGGCTGGGCCTAGAGCTGGCAACAGGTCACCCCATGCCGCCCACAGAGCTGCCTTTGTGGTCCTGGCCCTTCCTAGAGCAGGCTTTGCAGACCCAGCACCTCTCCCGGGTGCTCATGACAATGGCCTCATCCCAGGCCCCCTGTGCACCCCACGGGACCCAGGCTGCCAGCAAGTCCTTCCTCTGGGCCGTTTCTTGCCAGTCTCCTCTGGCCTGGAGCCTGCTCTCGATCCTGCTGGGCCGAGTCGTGGGGCTCTGACTGTAGTCCTGGCCTCCCCAGGCCTCAGTCTTTTCCGTAAGGCAGGGGTGCCCCCAATCCTGCGCACCAAACCAAAGTGGTGCGAGGTGCGGGGAGAGGGTCTAGAATGCAACCCGCGGGGATGATGGGTGTCRCTGCTGACTGGGCTAAGGCTGGCGGGGATGTGTCCAGGGCCGCCTTGGGGCAGGCACTGTGTGGCCTGGGGCAGGAGCGGTGCTACCCCACACCCGCCATCCCGTCACTCACTGCGGTCCCCTGAGATGATCTGCAGCAGCTCGTAGTCATCGGGCTCCTCCTCGTCCAGGTTGTGTTTGTCCAGGGCCTTGCGAATGACAGTGGGAGCCTTATCCTGGCTGGTCACCTGGGGCAGAGCGGGGGACAGTCCTTCAGGGCACAGGCCCTAGAGTGGCTCCCCAGAGTGCAGTGCCAGGGACCCTCCAGAGTCTCCTGTGCTCTAAGAGCAGGGACTCACACTTTCATCCCCTCTGCTTCCCTGAGGGTGGCCTCCTTGGAAGGAAGGGTGGTCCTTCCCCGCTGTTCCTAGCCCCCTTCTCCTACAACAGAGACCACTGTGTCCCCCATGTCCCCTGGGGAGCCGTGTGAACCCCAGGGATTGACACATCTGGGGAGCAGATGGCCTCTAATCCAACCCAAGAGAGCCGGGTCTGCTCTGGGCTGGAGGCTGGGGGTGGGTGGCACAGGTCAGAGGCCCGGAGGCCTGGACCCTGAGGGCGGCCAGGGCACAGGCAGGGCTCAGACAAAGGTCATGCAGGTGAGTGCTTACTGACAGCCAGGATACCTCCTGGCAGCAGGAGGCTGGGTGCAGGCTGGCGTGCCATGGGGCATGCCTGACCCAGCAGGGTAGAGGTGGCCGACGACTCCCTGCAGCCAGAGGCCTGGACGGGCAGACCCCATTGGCTCTGGGTTCAGAGACATCCAGACTCGCACTGCTGCTGGCCCCTCCGTGGCTGCCACCATGTGGCTGCCCCCACTCTCTTGGCCTGGATCCCTCCCTGCCCCTTCACCAGCCAGTGCCCCATGGAGGCACCCAGAGTCACTGCTGCCTCCTCTGCTCCAGCCTCCAGAGCTGTATCTCCTTCCTTAGCAAAGTCAAGGTCAAACCCCGCTCCTGTGGGCCCATTCCTCCCCTCCACTCCCTGGGATGAAGCCCTTGGCATTGACCACTTCTTCTTATTCCTGTCTCCCTTCTTGACCCCTAGAACATGGACTCCAGGAGGGCTTGGGATGGTCCTTGGTGCTCAACATGTCTGCCACCTGGCTAGGTGAGCGCGAGGGGCCACCCCGGCCAGCAGGCTCACCAGGATGCTCTTGTACATGTTGCCGTTGTCCACGTCCAGGCTGACGCGGACGATGCAGCAGTCGCCCACCTGCTGGTTGTAGAGCGGCAGGGAGGAGCTGTAGCTGCAGACCCCTGAGACGGAGCGCTTGTGGGTGCGAGTGGTGGCCACGGGCGTGGTGCAGGCGGACGATGAGGAGGTGCTGCTGGAGGCCGAGCTGATGCCGGAAGTCTCTGGGGAGGACTGGGAGGCCGACTCCCAGAACTGTGGGGGACGGTGACATCAGCAGAAGCCCAGACCCTGTGGGGCACCTGGAGGGCCACTGGAGGGCTGCCGGAGCCGCGTTTGTGAGATGGGATTTCCCGGCCCTCGTGTGGATGCGGGGAGGGGTGGGGATGCTCGCGCCAGGAGGCAGGGTGGGGGACGGGCAGGTGGGCACCTTCTTTTCCTGGCCATCAGGGGACTCTGGGACGAAGCTCATGTTGATCTCCTCCACGTCGGAGCTGGAGGAGCCGGCCGAGTGCACGCTGAGCGCATCTGTGATGTCCCCGCTGCTGAGGTAGGAGCCACACCTGAGCTGGTCACACGACCTGGAGTGGGAACTGCTGCTGGTGCTGAGCTCTGTGCTGGGGGCCTGGCGGCTGGATGACATGGCTGGCTTACCAGGGGCCCCTYGTCAGGGACACATCCCACCCTGTCCTTTCCCCTGCTGCACTCTGTACAGGGGGTACTAGCTAGAGGCTTGGTCAATCACCAGGACCCACCCCTCCCACCTACAGCCGTCTGAGACCATTCAGAAGCGCTCGTTTCCCAGAGGAGGAAACCGGGGCCCTGTCACAGGATGGTCAGAGACGGTGCAGCCCAGTGCTGGCCTGTGTGGCTTGGCCCTGAAGCTCCTCTGGCCCTGGCTGCTGGGTCGGGCACCTACTCGCTCCAGCGCTTCACAATGGCAGTGCTCTTCTTGGTCTTGAGGGTGTTGCTGGCAGACTCAGACGGGGGCTCCAGCTCACAGGACAGGCTGTAGCTACAGGCAGGGACGGTGGTGAGGCCACCAGGAGCTGCATGCGGGCCTCTTCCTAGGACCTCCCCAGAAGCTGGACCTGGGGGCCACTGCCCTCCTGGTCCGACACCGACCAAAATCTCAGGTCCCAACCTCTTGGGAGCCAGTCCAGGCCACCCTCAATGTCCCCAGCTCCTGCCCAGCCTCACCTCTCGGCCTCACTGAGCCGCTCCATGGCCCGGAACCAGGACCCAAAGTGCTCCGCGGGCGCGATGCTGTAATTGTTGCAGGCTGACTGAAGCAGCTTGATCTGCGCAATGACCTCAAACTCCTGGGTGGGGGGCGGACAGGAGGGTGAGGGGCCCTGTCCAGGCACAGGGCAAGGCAGGGGCTGCCCTCTGGGACTTTGCTTGGGTCCCTCTGCCCCTCCAGGACCCTCTGTGTCCCACAGCCACTCCTTGGCAGCTAGCCCAGACCCAACTCCTTCCCACCCTTCTCAGTCACCAAACATGCAATGCTCACCTTCCTTCTCTTCTCGAAGTTGATCAACCTCCCCTGCAAGACAGACAACCAGCATCCCTCAGGGAGCTGCCCTCCACCTTTAAGGCCTCCTGCCTCTGCCCCCCCACGAGAGCCGCCAGGGGACGGGGCACCTGCACAGGCTCTGGGGATAACGGGGACCGAGGCTTTGGGTGAGGAGGCCCTACGTGGGCTCCGCAGGCTGCCTGACCTTCACGCATGCCCACAGCTACCCCAGAGCTGTTCCGTCCACGCCCCACAGCCAGGCAGCCTGTGGCACACAGGAGGGTGGTGCGTTCCCCTGCACGGGGCCACGAAGCTCTCAGCAATACTGCGGGCTCAGGGGCCAGCAAGGGCTCTCTCCTCCCAAGCCTTGGGACCCAGGACCCCAACCCAGTTCCTGCCCTGCCCCCGGCCTTGGGCTCACTCACATACAGATAATCCTTCATGGCAGTGTCCAGCATCACCAGGTCAGTGAGAAACGTGCCCAGGTAGGGGACGGTGCCCTGGATGATACCCTGTGGCATTGGGTGGGGGGTGATAAGTAAGGCCTGGGGCCCTGCCCTGAAGGCTTCTTAGCCTGACCCTAATCCCACGTGGCCTCCCACTGGGAGCAGTCTGGGAACCTTAAGCCACCTCTGTCCCAAGTCCCCCTCCTAGACTCTATGAACCCCAATCTGTCTCTGGGCACCTCCCTGGCTGGCATGTGCCAGATGCCCAAGGTTATGTGACTCCTGATCACCCCTCCCCACCAAAAACTCTGCCAGACCCCGGGTCTGGGGCTTCAGCTCATTCCCCATGGTGCCAGCTGGTCAGGGCGGGGCCCCGCCTGGGTCCAGAGGAGATCAGGTCCAACGGGGCTCAGGGGCAACAGGAGGGAGGGAGTAGGGGAGCCCCTTCCTCTCCAACTCCCCCAGCACCCACATCCCTCCCTGGCCTTGGACATGGTCACTCACCGATTCCTTTGGCCGCCTCTGGGTTCTCTTGGGATTCATCTCCAGGGTAGCAAACTTGGAGGTCCCCTCCTGCCAGGGTGGAGGGTGGGGTCAGAGCCTTCCCCTTGCCCCTCATCCATCAGTACCCCTGACCTTGGGCCCACGGGCTGGTGCCAAGTTCCTGCTGCCCCAGCACTCACTAGTGGGGACCCTGAGTTGGCAGCCTGGTCTCTCTGTGCCAGTTTCCTCATACAAAGTGGGGACAGGACTACACCTGCCTAGGGGGCAAAGAGGGCTTGGTGCCACATTACTGGCACCGGTGCTGTCCCRACTCGCCCTCGGCAGCACAGTCTGCTCAGAGCCCACGTGTTCCTTTTCCTCTTGAGCCCCATCACCTCGTGAATTGGCATCTATACTCCTCCACTTGCCAGATGAGAAAACTGAGGCCTGTGGGGGGGGGTGGTGCTTGGAGGGCAGGCCGTCCACACCTCTCTGGCCAGTGACGGGGTTCTGTCTTTCCCTCGGGAACACTGACGAGGCTCCCGACACTGTGCTTTCATGCCACACACGGGGATTTAAATGTGGGATGCTTCTTCCTGACCTAGCTAGAAAGCGTCCCTTCCAGGGGCCCTGGGCCACCCTGTCCCACGGAACAAGCCTTTCTCTTCACTCCTCGTGATCTTAGCTTGCATGCCCAGGGTCTCCAGCTGAGCTGAACCTCAAGTGGGGAGAGGGACAAGGTGTCTGGGTTCCTGCCTGCCCCAGCCCCTAGATGGCTCCCGTCTCCACAGGGCCCTGGCAACATTCCCCTGCAGAAAGCTGTCATTCTCCACTCGGGACTCCTGGGGGCCACCGCAGACTGACCAGGGGTCTGGGGTGGAGACACTCTGCTTTCTCCTTTATAGGGAGGCTTCTGAGGTGGGCTACTTGGCACCTGCCCCTGCTCCAAGGAGTGTGCAACCTCTTGAGGGTTCTATGACCTGTCAGCAGCCTCTGCTCTAGGGGCAGAGCCCAGCGCCACCAGGGCAGCCAGATCTGCGTCTCGAGTCTGAATGTCAGGACCCAAGCCTGGCGGCCCCTTTGGTTGGCTGGCCCTGGGCACCCCCTGCAGATTCCCATTCTTGGCAGACCTCTCCCCTGGGATGTGCATTCACGCAGAAGTGGTGGCAGGGGCCTGGGTGGCTCGAGGAAGGAAGCCTGGCCCTCGGTCCACCCTACAGCCTGCGTGAGGCCACATCCCAGCAGACAGCTGCAGGCCTGCTGACCCTGCCTACTCCTCCACCCTCAGGAACAGTGGGTCCTCCTGTCTTGAAACAGACCCTCTTCCCTCTGTCCAGAGAGACAGGACTGGAAGTTTTCAAGGAAGCGTTTGATGAGGATCTGACCCCCAGCCTGTCTCTCCCTCCATCCACCCCAGGACCCCCCTGACCTTGATGAGCAGCTCTCTGCTCAAGGAGTAGTTGTTCTCATCAGAGAAGATCTCAGATAGCTTCTGGAATATTCGGAAGCTGTCCCTGTAGGAAGAACGAAGAGGAGATGACACTTGGGAAGGGTGGGGAGGGGTGTGACAGCCTTCCAACTGCCTGGGAAAATGGGCTGCAGATGGGATCCAGGGCCTTACAGCCTGGGGAGGGGAGCTCCTGGCTGGCGCAAGGGGGACCCCATCCCCATTTCTGCTGAGCAGTGTTTTCACCTGTTCTGATTTGGACTGGACAAAGATTCTGTGGTTACAGGTAAAAACCTGAGCATTGCCCTGCAGGCCCCACCTGGGGTCTGGCGGAGGAGGAAACCAAGGCCTGATGCAGAATGCTGATGGGTCTTGAGACCCGCGGTGCCCGCCAGGGCTCCCGCCCTCAGGGCTGATGCCTGCCCCAGTTCACCGAGCTCCTGGGGAGAGCGCCCACCTGGAGACCTCCTCCCACGTCTTCTTCAGACGGTGGATGGCGTTGCTCTGCAGGGCAGAGAGGATGGCGTAGAGAGAGGAGAAGTTCTTCAGGACTCGGCACTCCTGGGGACAAGGACTCTGTGAGCCACGCCTGGAGCTCCTGCCAGCTCCTGCTGGACTCCTGGGCTGGCCCAGCCCCTGAGATGGTGCCAGGGGAGTCCCTGAGGGAGGCCTGGGATCCTGGGGGAATGAGTGCCCAGGCAGACTCAAGGCCAGCATGGCCCTGGGGAGGAGCGGCCTGGGGTCCATGCAGGGGCTCAGACCATACACCACATTCTGAGAGCAGATAAAGGTGAAGAGGTGTCCCTGGGCTCCTCTCACCACATACCCTGGCCACTTCGACCCAGTGTTCCACCACCCGGGCCCTGTCTGAGGCCTTCATGCTCCGGTCCCCAAGGCAGGTAGTGATGACACAGTTGGCCACATTGTTGAACTGGGTGACGGTGGCACGGATAGTGGGTGCTAGGTGCTCCTTGCCCTTCTTGTCCCTCTGGGACCAGATGGAACCCAGGCAGTGGTAGGGCACCACCTTCTTGAACAGCTCCTGGGGAGGAAGGTCAGGGTCACCCACCTGTGTTGCAGACCACTGTCCCCCAGGCCTGGACTGGAGCCCTGTGGTCAGGGCTGGAGCTCAGGAAGTTGAGGATGTGGCTTGACCTTGTGGGAATCCCTGGGTTTTGTTCCCTGACCACCGAGGACACCCTGCACGTGAGGAACCCAGGGTGAAATCTCGGCAGGAAAGCAAAAATAGCGTTTTCTCTGCCAGTCTCTGTCCAAGTACCAGGAAGAGGCTTCAGCCTGAGGTCCCAAGGCACCCTCTGCCCTCCATTTCACATGCCCAACTGGGCTTTACCCAGAATCTGCTAGGACAGTACACATCAGGTGCCTAATAAGTGCTGAGGCTGGCGAGGCCTCCTGGGCAGACCCTGGGTGACCTGTGGGCCTGGGGGCTCCATAGTGAGCACCTGTCCTCCCTGGGTCAGGCCCATCAAGCTGTGTCCTGTCTCCTTGTGTCCTTGTATAGTCACCCTATGGAAAGCAGGGGTGTCCCATGGCCCCGAGGGAGTGGGCCTAGGGCATGTATTCTGCACAGGTGGAGCCGGGATTAGGATCGGAACACAGCTCTGGGGCAGGGGATGGCAGGTCTGTGCGTCTGAGGACAGAAGGAGGGCCACTCCCTCCTGCCCAAGCCACACTCAGCTACTCACCGCATCCATCAGCGTGAACTGCTCTGCCACCAGGTCAGGAGGGAATGCTAAGAGGTGAGGCTTCTCCTGGCTCAGCCCATTCTCCGTGGACACAGGCGAAGGCCAGCAAGGTTCCACTGACAGCGCGGGTGCTGAAGTGGGCTCTGGCTCTAGAGTCTGTGACAGGGCCGGTTCCCGTTCTGGAGCAGGTGATGCAACGGGCTCAAGCTCTGGAGCTGGTGCTGGAACTGGCTCCTGATCCAGAACGGGTGCTGGAGCTGCCTGTAGCTCCGAGGCTGGTGCTGTGGACTGCAGCTCTGGAGCGGATGCTGGTGCTGTCACTGGACTGGGTGCCAGGGCTGGTTCTGGAGCTGGCTCTAGCTGTAGCTCTGGAGTTGGTTTCAGAGCCAGCACTGGAGCTGCTGCTAGAGCTGCAGGAGCACAGACCCCACATGACTGCCTGCCTGAGCCTGTCCAAAGACAGAGACATCCCGAGCCCACACAGGACGACCTCCCCGACTGCAGTGCATCCCGACCAGCAAGGCTCATCCTTGCTTCTGGCCCAGTGCCAGCCCTGGAGCCTRCTCTCCATGGTGCCCAGCTTGACTCTTCCTCATGTGCCCTCAGACACTCACCCCAGGTCTCCTCGCCCTCGGGCTCAGCCTCGCTGGGCTCCAGGTCCTCCAGCTGGGCCAGAAGAAGGTGGGCACGGCGCTCCAGGTCCGAGCCAGGCATGTTGAGCTGCACATAAGCCACCAGCTGCTTGAGGCAGGGAAAGTCCGGAGGCTGGCAGAAATCCTCCGAGTACTGGTCCAGCCAGGTCCCCAGGATGGAGGAGATGGCGCTGGGGACCGGAGGGTGAGCAGCAATCAGAGGTCTGGCCTTTCCTACCCTATGGCCTCTCACATTCCTATGGGGCTGGACTCCTGCGCCAACCCTGTCCCTCTAGAGGCAAGTCCAACCCAGTCCAACCCAAGTCCCTTTGACTGTACAGATCACCAGGCAAGGTTACAAAGAACTTCCACTAGAGGGAGCCCTGGGACAATGATCAGACCAACTCCCCTTAAAGGTCTCCAGGGAAGCCTGACACTCCTCTGTCTGCCTCCTACCCCACTCCCCAATGCACACTCCACCACCTCCTTCCAGCACTCACAGGGCCCCATCRACACCTCAGCCTGTGGCTCGTGCTGCCACGCAACCTCATTTTCTGTGAGCTGTGTGTGGGTCTTGTCTCCCGAAGGGCATGGCCTGTCCCCTGCAATCTCTGAGTCCCCCTGGGGACCAGCTGAGAACCCATTATCAAGGAGCTGAGCATGGTCAGCTGCTCCCCAGCCCTCCAGTCCAGTCTTCACACAGGACAGGTGGGCAGGCCSGGCTGGGCTGGGCTGGGCCAGGGTGGGGATGCATGGCCACAGGCCAGCTCTGGGCCCCAGCCTCCCCGCTGCTCCCAGGGGGCCTGGGACCTCACCCACAGCTCTGTCCTCCTCCTGCAGGCAAAGCCCCAGACCTCAGCCTGCCAGCAGGAATCAAAAGTGGGAGCCAGTGTTTATGCCTAGCCCTCCCAAGGCACAGCCTCCGACACCCCCACTTTGGAGACAGAAGCCCTCCCTTGACCCAAAGCTCACTCACTTTTTAAGTTGCTCCTGAGGCCCGCCGTTCTCACTGGAGTAGGGCAGGATGCAGCCATATCTAGGGGAGGCCGTGAGGGCGTCACATCTACCGTACCTGCTTATGACGTCTAGGGTTACTGGCTGATCCCCGACAGGAGGGGCCAGGACCGCAGGGGTCTTCCTGCTCTTTTCACCAGGTGATGCCCAGTGCCTGGAAATGTACTTGCACACAGCAGGCACTGCATAGATGTTCGCTGAATGAATGAGCCCAACCAGCTGCTTCTCCAATACCCCAGGGGTCCCTGCTGTGGCTACATCTAGTCCCCCCAACCAGATGGAATCTGGACCCTCCTTTACAAATGGGGAAACTGCTTTGCCCCAGGCAGCGAGCTTCTTCATGGGGGAGGGGCACTCACAGCGCCAGGCTGGGCAGGCACTTCAGACTCATGCCACTTGGTCCTCACTACTCTTGAGGGTGGTGCTCTGAGTACCCGCGTTTCCCCAGAGCAAACTGGGGCTCAGAGAGGAGCAGGCGTTCCCATGACCCCGCCAGCAGGTGGCGAGTCCCTCTGGGCTTGGAGCTGGGGCTCACCTTTTGAAGAGCAGGTCCAGCACCTGCTGGGTAGTAGTGAAGGCTCTGTAGGTGCACAGGAAGACGGTGACATAGGAAAGGTCGCTGCCCTGGAAGGCGGGCACCAGGTGCTCCACCAGCTTCTCCAGGGTGCCCGCCTTCACGGTGCGCACCTTGCAGGTCTCATAGAGGTTCAGCGCCGACTCGTTCTCACCCTGGGCAGACAAGGGAGGGGCGGTCTGTGGTAGCACAAGCCTCCAGAGTGGATGGAGCTTAGGCCAAACTCCCAAGTACTCAGCAGCTGTGGCCAGAGTTGGGACAGGAGGGTCTCCAGAGGAAAAGGGGTCTTGGCCTTAAAAGTAGAATTTGAAATGTGGGAGTGATCACAACTACTGATTCCTTTGGGCCAGTGTGAGGGACGTTCATAGCCTCAGATAATGGTGAGCCTCTCCGAGGGAGTCCTAAGGAGCACCCATCCAGAGAGAAGATGGGACTGTCCTAGGGTGGGGGAACAGCCTGTCAGGACACACAGGCGGTGTTCCCTCGGTTGCAGAGGGAGGTCGCCACACGGCCCAGGAGCAGACACAGGAGCACGGGGCTGAACAGCTGCAGCAGTAGCCTCCCTTCTGGAGACTTAGGAGCCGAGTCACACACCCCCATTGACCTGGAGGGGCCTGGGGATGTTCTCTGTGAGGTGGGGACATGCAGGAAGCGTATGTGACAGCTGTGCCTGTGCTTTTTAGGTGAAGACAGCTGCAGTAGGTGTACGAATGCAGGGCTGGGAGAAGGTGCAGTGAGGTCAGCTGACAGCTGAGGGGACACCTGGGAACACGATGCAGCCTGACGAGAGGTGGGACAGAAGTGAGAACATCTTCTCCCACACTTGGCCGCTGTAATCAGGGCCTTGGCACCTGATCAGGTGCTGGGGGGCCCTGGGAGGGATGGGGAGCAAAGGCCCAGAGTCTTCTCAAGTGGTACAGGGCCTTGGTGGCTCTGGGAAGGAGCCTGGCACAGTTGCCATTCGGGATCTGTGTCCTGGGCTTGAGTGGAGACCCTGGCACACACTTACCCCGAGCCAGCGCTGGCCCTTGCTGGCCCCATGATGCAGCTGCACCTTGCGCAGGGAGATGGAGTAGATGACCCCATTGACCAGCTCCTCACCGATCTCCTGCGTGGAGCTCTGCAAAGACAGTGCCCGGCAGCCGGGCCCTGACGTTAGGGGCCTGCCTGGCCTGAGTAGCCTTCTGTCTCCAAGAGGAGGCACAGATACGTGGCCATGCAGACCTCCAGCTCCAGGTAAAATAAAAACATCAGGGCAGGGGCTGCTGCCCCACATTCCCCTTCTCACCCAGCCAGTAACACCCTGGGGTGTGGACAATGGGCCCCTGGGCTCCCAAGCGCCCAACCAGCTGCTCAGGACAGGCCATCTCTCGCTCCATCCTCTCTCCAGGACGGGCACTGTAATTGACCACTTCAGAGATGGGCAKGTGCCGCCAAGAGGAGCAGCTGACCTTTCACTGAGCTGCCTCAGGTAAACAGTGGCTAGAACCCCAAGGCCCTGCTTCTGTGGCCCCCCAAGAAGGCAGCTCCTCAGGCCAGGGGTGCTGTAGCCATCCTGCTCCCACCTCTCTTCTACCCCACCTGGGGTCCCCAGCTGACCCAGCTATAGTGAAAAGCTGTTCCTGGCCCAGCCCTGGGTCAGCAGCATGGGTCTGGGGCAGGTGTGTGGCATCTCTGAGGGCTACGTCACAGCCACTTCCTTCCCCTCTGCTCATTTATGCCCTTGTGCCCACGTGGGCTCTTCGTGGGAGCGTGGCAGATATGAATGGTGGGGCAGATGGGACCAGTGGTGGTGCTGGGGTCCACAGAACCCCCTAAACATGGAATATCGGCTGGGGCAGAAAGTGGGGTCCTCTGACTGCTCCCAGGCCCCAGGGCAAGAAGGAAAGGCTTTTATTTTAGGAGCAGACTCTGCCCACCAGCGGGCTAGCTCAGGGGCTGCATCCTGCTTAGCCACGCCACCTCCGCTGCAGGGTGAGCACCCACCTCACTGTCCGGGAAGGGGTGAGCTTGTGGTGGGAGCAGGGACTAGAGGCTGACCCTGAGGGTACAGGGAGGAGCTGGGAAGCGAGACTGGCACATGGCCATGGACACCTAAAGTCACTGCTCAGGTGGGTGTGGAGCCCGGAGGACCCATGGGAAAGAGCTCTTGGCCTGCCTCTGCAGCCCTTCTCTAAGGCCCACACACCATGTACTGGAGCCCGGGCCCTGTGACTCTTGCCCACCCTCAGAGAGACAGCTGTGGACACCACACGGCCTCCTGACCCTCCTCCTCCCTGCTGAAGGGGACTTCCTTTCCATCTCAGGAAAATGAGACAGATGTTCTCCCTCCCTGCACACAAAACTGCCTTGGAGGAGACGAGTTTCAGAGGCCAGGGGTCCTGGGCCCCGACCACCCTGTCTCCTCAGGGGTCCTAAGAGGTCAAGACGTGGCTGGGGAGTCTCCAGGGATTTTAGCCATACCAGGTCCAGCTGGGAGTCAGTATCTGAGCACCCATCAAGGGCAACAGCTCGAGGATCTCATGTAGGACCCACGTGCCATGGTGCAATGAACTTGAACCACTCAGGAGCCCAGCACAGTGCCAGTCCACAGCAGGTCTCAGAGATGGGCTCCATCAGCATCTGGTCGGCCAACCCACAGGAGAAGCGGGGCCAGGTGGCCTTGGCCATGCCAAAGCAAGTCTAAATAGCAGCTCCTCAGTGAGCCACTGGCCTCGGCTGGCAGCCCAGCAGCTGGCCCTGGCCCTGTGCAGTGTCATGTGATTCCTGCGCCCTTCCCCCAACCAAGGGGCCTCTCCTGTCAGCTGGGTGGGGGGTGGGGGTGCACGTCGGCACCACACATGCCTGCCCTAGGGGTGTCACCAGTCAGGGGCACAGATGGGGAGCTAACCCTGAGCTCCAGGAGGCTGGAGCTAACCCTGAGCTCCAGGAGGAATAAAGCAGATGCAGGAGCAACGCTGGGCCTCTCACCCCCTTCACCCAGCAGAGACAGCAGCGGGGGCCTCCACTCCCTGCTCTGACGCCTCTTCCAGGGACAGAGAGAGAAAGCAGTCAACAGCCCTGGGATCTGTCCCCAAGACCCTCTGGGCCACCAGGCACCCACAGGCCATCCTTTTCTAGCAGAGCTGAGAGCCCATATGGGCAGCCCAAGTCCCCAGAGATCTGGGAGGGACAGGAGGGGAGTGGCCCAGTAAACAGCTGAGGCAGAGAAAATGCCTCCCAAGGGCAGCGACCCCAGGCTATGGTGGGAGGAAAGAATGCCACACGGCTGGCTATTGTGGCCTCAGGGGACGATCTTCCTGTCCTCCCTTCAGCACGCCCAATGTCCCTAGGGCCCTAGGAGCCAGTCAGGAGCTGTGCCTCAGAATAGATGTGGGTCAGTGGACAGGGCAGCGGTGCCCTGGGGCCCTGAAGACAGGGCCCCCACACTCTCCTGTCTGTTGGGGCACAGACCAGGGACCTCAGGACAGGGAGAAGGACAAGGGCCTTCCTTGGTGGTTAGTATGTCACCTGACCAGCTGTAGCTCCAGCTGTCCCCGAGGGAGCTGTGGCCGGCTGAGCCCCGGGAGCTAGACTCCCTGGAGGTGGAGTTGTGGCAGCTACGAGGGGAGCCACAGCAGCCTCAGCTCTGTCCTCCCCACAGGGGTCCACGTCTGCACACATCTCAGCCCTGTAGCTCAGTTTCCTGCTCCAACGGCTTTTCCTGTGGAAGCTTCCAACAGGGGTTCCCAGGCGCCTCGGGCCTGCAGGCGCTCATGGGGCTCTCTTCAGGAGGCCTGGCTGAGCAGGGGGCTGAGGCTCAGGGAGGAGGCCAAAGCCTGAACCACTGTCTCCTCTCTTCACCTGGAGAGGTCAGCTCCACTTGGGCAGGTGGCACTAAACCCTCAGGGACCCCATTACAACCCCTGGGCTGCTGTCCAGGGCCAGCGAGTCATCGGGGCCATCCTGGAGCCATGGCCAGCCTCTAGTCAGCATCCCGAAGCTCTGGGAACACGAGGCCCTGCCCCAGGGCCCACCAGACCTGAATGCCACCCTCACAAAGAGCCCCGACTCCAGCCAGGTCTGGTGGACGGGGAGAACAGCAGCTCTCCCACAGGTGACGGAGGGGTGGGGTTGAGGGCATGGCCTGGCAGTGTGGGGGGCAGCACCTGACCCGCCACAGCCCCCAGGAGTTGGCAATAAACCCTGGGCAGGAAAACCTCAGGGAGCCTGTGTGAGGCCCCCTGAGGCTCTGGAACCCTGCCTGACCCCTGTGCTGGGGCAGCTCCTGGACTTTTAGCCTTTGAGTGGGACGCAGCAACCACAACCAGAGCAGAGCAGAGGTATCAGAATGCCAGGCTCTCCAGGTCCTCGGAGGCCAGACACCCTCCTCACTTTATGGGCCTGGAGACAGAGGCCCGGGGGGCGGGGACGGGCTGTAGAACACATCCAGGTCCTGGTTCAGTCCCAGTGAGGGAGGGGGACCCCAGCATCATGACCCTTCACCCTGGGCCTGCCCCTAATTCCGAGGCCCAGGGCATGAACAGGACCTCAGCAGGGATGTGGGGTCAGCCGCACTCCAGTCCCCACACAGAGCCTCCACGGGCATTACACAGGGTGCCTGGCTGCCATGGCAACAAGTGAGCTGGGCCCACGGCTGCAAAGGCCATGAGGCAGCTCCATGACCCCAGACACTGAAGTCTGGTGACCAGCCTGTGCCGAACCCCCAAAGAGACTGTCCTGCAATCCCAGGACCCTCTCTGCCAGCCTGGGCCCCATGACTTGCCTTGTTAGCATTGGAGACTAAAGAGGCCTCCAGTGGGGTAAGGGAGACCAGCCTTCCAGCTGAGTGTCCACGCTTCTGTCTGTCTGCTAACAGCCAGCTTCTGACTGTCAGGCAACAAGCCACCAGGGCCAGAAGGAGGACTGCAAGAGGACCGAAGGTCCAGATCACCACCACCACCACCACAGACCACAGTGTCCAGCACACGCGGGCACTTCTGGTGCCAGGCCCTTCCCGCCCTCATGGCATCTAGTCCTCCCAGCACCTCACCTGACAGATGAGGAAACAGCTGGGCAGGGGTACGCCCAGGTCAGGAGCCAGGAAACGGCAGCCAGGACAAGGATTTGAACCCTGGCCTGTGCAGACACACCCAGGCCTGGTGGCTATTCTGACCACGGTTGAAACCTTAAAGCAGGGCCCGGCCCCTGTCATGCACAGGTGGAGGAGGGCAGAGACAGGAAGGGCTCCCTCAGGTCACTCTGCAGGTCAGTGTGACTAGGCCAGTGCTTCACACTTGCACCTCTGAACGGAGATTTGTGGACACCGGGAGAAGGGCTAACAGTACCACAGCCCCAGGTCAGCTGCAAGAACCCGGACTGGGAGGCTCCATGCTGATGGGTCAGTGGTGTGCCCCAGGAGTCCAGGGCACTGGGCAGGCTCGGCTGCTGGCCTGGCACCTGCTCAGGAAACCTAATTGTGGCTGCTGTTGCTTGTCCAGCTCTGATACTGAGCCAGGCACTGTGCAGACAGCTCGTCAGGCCTCCTGCCTCACACGTCCTCACCGGGACCCTGGGGGATGAACCTGCATCATGTCTATGGTATAAATGAGGAAACCAAGGCCCAGACAGCAGTAGGTCAGCTCCAAGGCGCCAGGTTGGTGTTCGAGTGCCCGTTCTAGACCTCAGAGGAGGAGCGCTGACAACACCCACGGTCCAGTGCCCACCAGACAGGCTCCGATCCCCCTGCCTTGCTCATGGACTGTCCCTGCGCTCATCCTCTCCCTCCCGGGGGAACTGGGACTGCTGAAGGCGCAGCTCCTTCCATGCCAGGTGGCAGTTTCCAACTTCCATCTCTTGGAGTGGGGCTGGGGAGGGTTGCACCTTGGAGGTGCATCTCTAGCAACACGGCTTTTCTGGGCCTGTGAGGCTGGAGGCCCAGCCCTGGGACAAGGTGGCCATGGCATGGTGGTACTACACTGTGGGAGCCGTCTAAGCAGCTGACCAGTAGCCTCTGGGAGCCTGTCCTCAACTGCCTGGGCGCAGCCTCCTGAAACCTCCCCACTGGCTCCTTCAGAGGCCGTCTGCTATGGGGCAGTGATGAATCTACCTGGACCCTTCTTGCCTGCTACACAGGCAAGGCCTAGAAACTCTGTTCCACCTCCTGGTTGAGGGTCAGGCTCTGCCCTGCCTGCATGCTGCCCGACATCTCTTGTAAGAGCCAACAGGGGGAGTCCTGGGGGCCTGTGGTTTGTCAGTCCCCTCATGAACTAGATGGGAAGACTCCTGGAAGACCACAGTACACAGGGGCCCTCAGACTGTGCCCCTGGCTCTCCAGTGGCAGCACTAAGGAGCCCTGGGGTTGAGCTGTAGAGCTGCCCAGTGTGACCAGCTGGCTAGACAGCAGAAGGAGGGGAGCATGGGGGAGAAGCCCCTGGGAGGGGAGAAGCCCCTGGGAGGGGAGAAGCCCCTGGGAGGGGAGAAGCCCCTGGGAGGGGAGAAGCCCCTGGGAGGGGAGAAGCCCCTGGGAGGGGAGAAGCCCCTGGGAGGGGAGAAGCCGGGGCCCTGCCCTGGGCCTCCCAGGAAGGCTCCCGGGGCTCCTCTGCCTCCACCAGCTTGCTGCCTGCTGCAGTCTAATCAGTTGTTTCATCTGTCAAATGGGCTATTAATAGTCTTGACCCCACAGGACAAAATGCATGCAAATGACCTAGCACAAGGCCTCCCAGGAGGCACTGCCTCCTCCAAGCCATTTTTTTTTTTTTTAAACCTGTGGGTCTGATGTGGCCTGCCTCCTTCAGAACCTGTCCTCAGGGTCCTCTGGCCTGCAGCACTTTCTCCTTCCTCTGGAACATAAACAACCCTCTCTGCCCCTCACTGACTGCAGTCCTCTCGAGCCCTGGGAGCCCCCAGGTCGTGGTCCTCCAGCCAGCTCTGCTCTATGGTGACAGGATCCCAGCATCTCCTGCACATGGCAGGCACCCACAGGGGCACAGCCCATGTTCAAGTCCTGGCTGCCACCCTTGGCTGCATGTGTGACCAGGCCAGGGGCTTCACTTCTCTGCCCCTAGGCTCCTGGAAGGTGGGGTTGGCGCCTTCTGAAGTCTGGTGCAGACTGCGGGAATGGCCCACTTCTCGGAATCCTCCCAATTTCTAATCAGGCAGAGATGAATTGCATCCTGGCCCGAGGGCCCTGTCCTCTCACTGCCTGGACACCTGGCCCCAAGTGCCAGAGACTGGCTATCCCACCACCTCCGCTGCCCACAGCTCGTAGGTGCTGCAGACCCTCACGCTCCTCTGCCAGACCAAGCAACGATGGATGGCCTCAAGGTAGGGCCTGGACCTGGCGGCCTCAAGAAAGCATGGAACGGCACAGGTCAGACTGGGCCACTGACGGCTTGGCTAAGAGTCAAGAAGACAGGTGGATGCCCAGATGTGCAAGGACATCTGGCACCCCTGTGAGGGAAAGCCCGGCAGAGGCTTGGTGGGAAGAGGGATGGCAGTCGGGAAGCAGCCTGCCTGGTGGTTTCCAGACAGGACAGTGGCCTCAAGCAGGGCTGCTTCGGCTCTGGCACACTGCAGCCACCAGGAAATCAGCCCCAGGATGGGGGGGGKGTGGCAGGAATGACAGGGACTTCCCCACCCCCTCCCCAGGCCCATGCTAAATGGTCATTGTGTTTGGTTTCCGGCAGTGGCCTCCTCTCCTGCCAGGACCCTGGCTTTCCTGCCCCAGCCAGAAGCTTCCCCTCTGATTTCTAAACAGCAGCTATGAGCTGCACCTCAGTGCTGAGGCCCAGGGAGGGAGAGCAACGAGCCGTGGACAGCCATGAGGGATGGAGCTCAGCTCTGCCTCTCCCGGGGCTCCTCAGGGATGCAGATGGACAGAGTCAGAGAGAAGCGGCCCTACCCCAGTCAGGAACCTGCCCAGCCCCTGYGAGCATTCTGGCCAGACCCTCCCAGCACACAAAGCCCCAGGCACTGCCAGATGTAATGAAAGCCAGATGAGTGCTGGGCTGGTGTCAGGCCTCCTACCCCCACGCTCCCAGGGGTCCTGTTCCAGCTGACAGAGGACCAAGAGTGCTGGGTGGATGGGGTTCAGGCAGCACGCCTAGCCTGAACACCAGCCAAGCTCTGGAGTTCTCCGGGGCCTGGGGTTCCCCCACAGAGCTCCCAAGTTGGGCAACAAAACATGCTTTGTCCAGGCCTTGTCTAGGCAGAGAGGGGTGAGGGGGCTGCTTCTCATTCCACTACCCCTGATGAACATCAGGTGCAGTCAGGTTGAGGCAGAGGACATCACCCACCGTCCCAGTGCCATGCCCCTGTTCTGGGCACATTAGAAACAGGAGTGCCAGCCCTCACCCAGTACTCCTCCTCTATCCATGATGGGCGAGTGAGCCCCCTCCTCTGAATCCTTCCAAATCCTTGTGGATTAAGGATGTAGGCATGTTATCTAATCAGGCTCAAATGAATCACATCCTTGGTCAAGGGTCTTGTCCTGCCTAGACACCTGGTCCCACAGGTTGTAGACCAGCTAACCACGCCTGGTTCCCCTGCCTGCTGAGCAGCACTGATGGGTTCCAGGAGGCCAGACCCATATCTGCTCCAGAAGGCCCCTGCAGTCTTAGCCACCTGGGGATTCCAGGATTCAGCCACCCCAACCCTTTGCTGGGCACTTGCACTGTGAAGTCTACCAATGTGGAGCAGGCCCTAGCAGGCCAGGCCCCTGCGGTTGGCAAGTTCACAGGCCACAGACATAAAAAGGTGACAGTGCCCAGGGAAAAGGTTTACCTGAGCTGCAGGAGCTGGGGTCGCCACACTGGGCTTGAGCAAACCCAGCTCTTGACCTGAACTGCTAGACAGGCGTGCCAGCAGCCGCCATGCCCACCTTGCTGCCTTGGGGATGAAAAGAGGAGGGGGTTACTGCAAAAGGAACCCCCAACCCACGCACCTACGGTGAAGGAAGGTGGCCAGCTAAGGACGCTGGGCCGCCGTCCAGTCCTCCCTTGAGACACAGCTCACCCACCTCGAGGCGCGGCAGATCTGGGTCCAGCTGCGTGAAGCTGTGTAGCACCACCGGGCAGCTGTCGGGGACGCCCACCTCCAGGCGCACCGCGTCCCACACACTGCGGCTTCGCCGGGAGCCCGGGAACAGCGGCTCGGCGCCGCCCGCGGGCCCGGCCGACTCGGCCCACATGCGCTGCACCATGGACTGCTCGTGGCGGCGCGGGCGGCCGGCAGGCCGGGAACCCCGGGCGGCGCGGGCGCGGGCGCGGGGCCGGCCCGGCGCGGCTCCGCGCTGCCTGCGCTCTACGCCCGCTGCCCGGCCCCGCTGATGTCAGGCAGGGGCGGACCCAGGAGGAGGCGGACCCTGGAGGAGGCAGACCCAGGAGGGAGGCGGGACCGGCACGGGCGAGGGGCGGGGCCGGCCAGACCAGGCGCGTGTGCCAGAGCACCGTGGCACTCGGCGGTGGAGCCGGCCCGCGGGTGCGCGTACGCGCTGGCGCAGTGGGTGTGCTGCATGCGTGAGATGCGTCTTGCCAAGGTGTGCTTAAGTCAGCCCGGCTCCCCCGAGTCCAGTGAAGCCCCTCCCTAGTGTGGCCTCCCCCACCCCCCAGTTCTTAACCTCGCGGAGCGCGGAGCCTCAGTTTCTTTATCTGGAAAACTTAGGTAATGAGAACGACTTCCTCAAAGAGCGGCTGGGAGGATGGCATTGGGTCATGACGTGCGGCACCGGGCCAATGCCTGCGCGTGGCGTGGCTATGTGCTCACAAGAGCAGTGGAACTGTGGCAGTGGCCTCGGTACACAGCAGCGTTGGGCTGTGTGGTGTGGGGCTGAGGGAGGGCGGTGCCCTACCCTTTCTAGAAAAAGGTCTAGCCCCTTTGGGTATTATGGCCACCCCAGAAGGGGTCCAGGTGGAAGGGCAGCCAGGGATCCGGAGAGAACCAGAGAGTGGGCTGAGGCCTGCAATACCCAAGGAGGGAGGGATCTAGAGCTACAGATGCCTGGCAGAGTCCCTGGCCCCTAGCCAGGTCAGCTGGAGCCGCTGGTGGCTTAAGCGTTCATGGAACTGGGGCAGTAGTTCCCTGGCAGAGCCAGGGAGCCTCAGCTATTCTTTCTGGCAGACAGGGAGGAGGGAAGCAGGACCAGGCCAGGTTTGGAGAACACGTGTAGAATGGGTGAATGAATGGGTTCCTTCCTCACATTCAGTCTCCTCCTGGCACCTGTGCCATCTTCACAGAGGTGGGGACCTCTGTCAGCAGCCCTTGCAATGTCAACCACCTCTCCACAACTGTCCCAAACCACTGGGCCTGTTTCTCTACGTGTAAAAGGAGAGAGCAGGCGAGAGCACACCTTCCACAAGCACTCCCTGCACACCTACTGTGCCCAGCCCCACACTTCTGTTGGAGCTGGGAGGCAAGGAAGCCACCCTAGCCCTGTGACCCCACAGACTGGCTGGTTATTTCCAGGTGAGGCTGTGTTCTTACATTTTCTAGTTTTTCTAAAATGTCTTTGTAACCAGGTAGGTGTATTAAATGGTGTTTTGTTTTAAAAAGTAAGATGGGGCTAAGAYCCCTAGAGATTGCTAAGGAAGCATCCCAGTCCTGCCTCCATGGAGGGTGAGGTGGGTGGGCACATCAGAGGAGGGACTGGGGACCTGCACATGGCCCTGGGCACAGACTCTTCTCACCTGCTCCTGAGCCAGGTTCTCAGAGCTCTGCAGGAGCTCAGACTCCAGCACCTGCCAGCTGGCTCGATCCCCTGCCCCTCTCTTAACTCATTCTCCCCAGGTGAGCCCCTGCCCCCTACAGTGAGTCCTGATGCACCTGGCCTTACCACCCCTCCAGCCTTGAAGGTTCAGGTGGGGTGGCCCAAGGAGGCTGGAGAGGGGGAGGATCCCCCAACGGCTGGCCTGACTGCCTGCTGGCCCACCACCAGTGCATCATGGATGCAGGGGTCCCCATTGTCTACTAGCCAGTCCCTCTGGCTGGTGTCTGCCAGATTTCACAAAGCCCCCCTCTGGTGAGCCTGTTATGGTTCTTGATGCATACACAGACACACCCTAAGATCCAGGGGAGCCCAGCTCCCTTCCTACCCTGTGACTCCCATCTGCCCCAGGAAGTCACCTTTGTTAAGGGGTAAAAGCTGTTGAGGCAGCAAACAGAAGCTCCTGCCTAGTGTGGGTGCCCAGTGCCTCACCCCTGCAGCCTGAGACGTGGCCACACCATTAGAGGCTGACTCCCTGGGCGCCTCCTGCATACAAGACCCTCTCCCGAGGCTTCACGTGAACAAACCTTCCCTCAGAATTCTCCTCACAGGTAGATCCCTTACCAAGGACAGGACCATATGAAAGAGGAGACAAGGACAGCATGTGCCACAATGGAAGGACAGCACCATGCACATGTGCTTGCCAAAACCCAAAGCATCCAGAGAGGCCTCTGCATGGAACCAACATCTGAGGGGCTCACAGGGGTCAAAGTGACATGTTAGATGCACACTAGAACGCAACCTCCGAAGGCCAGGTTGTGCAAACCTCTACAGACAAACAACCAGTTTCTTCAACAAATACACCTGGGGTGGGGGGGACTATACATTAACAGAAGGGAAGTTACACCAATCAAGTGCAAGGCATGGATTCTGGATCATGATTTGAACAAGGCAACAGTTTTAAAAAGAGAGAGAAAGAGAGAGAACTGTGATTACAATGGACCCTCCTTATCTAAGGGGATACCGTCCAAGACTCCCAGTGGATAACTGAAACTGAGGACAATATTGAACCCAAGCACTACAATACTGCACATCAATCTGATAACCAGGCGGCTCAGTGACTAACAGGCAGGTAGYGTATACAGTGTGGATACACTGGATGAAGGGATGATTTCATGTTCCAGTGGGTGGAAGGGACAGTGAGAGATTTCATCATGCTTAGAACAGCATGGAATATAAAACTCTTCAGTTTTGCATTTCTAGARTCTTCTGTTTAATTTTTGGGGAACTTGGTTGACCTTGGGACACTGAAACCACAGAAAACAAAATTGCTGATAAGGAGTGACCACTGTATTTGAACACTACTGTATATTTGAGGTCATCAGACATGATCATTTTTAAGTGTGATAATGGCACTGTGGTTACTATTAGAGTCACGTACTGTAGTATCTGTGACTGGAATGATGTGCCTGGGATTTGTAAATGTTGTCCACTGGGGGATGGTGGGAAACGGGGACAGTCAGGCTGTTAAAGCTGAGTGTCTTTATGTCATTTTTGTTTTCATGTCACAATAACAATCAACAAGAAGGGCTCAACTGGAGACTGACCCTCCTATGCCCCTTAAACTCCCCACAGCCTTAAAGAGGGGCACAGACTTCAGACCCCAGCCAAGGCAGTGACACTTCACTCTGTACCCAGGACAGAAAAGGCTGGTGGCCCCACTTGGGAGAATGTGAGTCCTAATGTCCAGACGGTGCTGTCGGAGGAGGGTGGTGGCTGTGTGCAGCCCCAGTGGCCTTGGGAAGGCCTGAGCACAAGGCTAATGCTGTCCCTTGCACTTGGGGTACCTGCTAGAAGCAAGCGGAACCAGGGGGAGCACAGGGAGTCCCCCTTGGGAAGTGGGAGGTTAGGGAGCAGTGTCTCTCCCTTCCTCCTCATCACACCCCAGCCCCCCACCCTGGGAGTGCATCTGCCCTTCCTGGGGGGGGTGGTGGAGCATGACAGACCCCGAGAACAAAGCTGTGTGGATCTTGTGCAGCCACCATGTTCCTCGAAGGGAAATTCTCAARGCTGTGAACTGACAGCTGGAGACTAGAGCCAGGCTGAGTCTGGCTACACGTGTGTTTTGTTTGGCTTGCAAAGTGTTTTTAAAATTTTCGGCCAACAGTAAAAGGTCAGGTGACTTCATATAAAGATCTGTATTTCCGGCTTCTCCTGTAACTTCAGATGACCTGACCACACCAGGTCTGTGTTCCCACATGCCCCGAGAGGCCAGGCGGAGCTGACGGCCCCTGCTGCCTTTAGCTGAGACATGGGCTTGGAGTTTGCCACAGACACCTGGGCACTGTCCATCACTCACTGGTCTAGAAGGTCCACCTTGGCTCACAGGAAAGGTGTACTTGGGCCCAATGGCTATGTCTGTCTCCTGTCCCTGCACATCAGTGGATTCCCAGACACACAGCATCCAGAGGGGTCCTGACCTTTCAAAGCCCACCCAGCAAGGCTCACATACAACTGCTGCAGGTCCCCAGAGAGCTCTCCRGCTCTGCTGGAAGCCTGCCACCTTCCCTGTGGTGAGCACCTGTCAGCTGGCTCACACACCACACCCAGTGGACGTTCCAGCCAGGACCCAGGCCTGCTTTTACCCTGGTCCCAGGGAAGAGTGTTCCAGTCCTGGGGTGCAGGCAGCAGTGAGGAGCAAGAACTGAGTACAGGCAACATGGGRGCAACCACAGCCTGGGTATCAGCCCTCCAGCCTGGACTGGGCATAGCCAGCAGGGCAGCAGCAGGCTCCAGACGCAGCCTGGGCGTGGGTGGAAAAGCATTTCTCCTCTTGCMGGGCAGGTGGAGTCACCCCCGTCTGCCTGGAGTTCTACATTTAGAGCAGGGGAAGACACAGGGTGTGGCCAGGTCAAGCCCCTCTGTCATTTCCTGGCAGGGACATCACCATTCCTGGACTGCCTGGGTCCCGGGGTGGCCCTGTGTGGGTGAGTGAGCACACATCATTGGCAGGCCGTGACGCACCTGGGTGAGCAGGGGTGTGCCCAGCACAATGGGAGGGCCTCCCTGGGCCCCGCCTCCTCTGTGCCCGAGTTCCTGGGGACCACCAGTGGCCTCCTCCTACCCCAGGATTGGCAGGGGTGTYTCTGGGGGCTGAGGTGGAACTCCGAGCTGGTCAGGAAGTGGGAACTGAAGCCCCGGGGAGGCCGCACAGGGTGGAGGGACAGGAGGTGGTCATCACCCCAGTCTGACCTCACAGGGCGTTCCTGTCCAGGGCTCCACCAAAGCCTGGAGCCCTGGAGGCGGGGGCTCAGCGAGGGGCACGGGGTTCTTGCTGCCCCCTGGAAAGAGTGCTCGCAGCCCAGCCCGCTGCTCTTCAGGTGTCGAGCAGAGCTAGATGGCAGTCCAGGGGTCACCAAGAGAAGTGCTGCCCGTGGTGGGGCCTSGGACGGCTGACAACTGTCCCTTAATCCCTGAGGGCTGGCTGTTCATTCCCTGAG